AGGCAGGCAGGCAGGCAGACAGACAGACAGACAGACAGACCCCGTTTACTAGCTTGTTCCCTTTCTGCTGAGACAATCATTTGAAACAGCGCAATACAAAAAAATAACAGTAAATCACAAGCAAATCCCTCTTCCCCTCAGCCCAAAACAAAACAAAACAAACAAAAAAAAACGTAGCATTCACACATGGGCCTGTGGTAACTTATGGCAGGTAACAAATGGGTTAACAATAAATATTTGTCTCCAGATAACATATTTATGTTTATGAAGGAAACACGCAATCTGAGCTTATCAAGACGCTCAAAAAACAAACAACTCGGTCTGCTGCTAGTTGCTCTATGCTGTTGCCATCGTTATCATTGACATAAATTGTTGCCGTTGTTGCAGTTACTGCTGTTTGTTTTTGTTTTGTTTGTTGGGGTTTTTTTGTGGGTGTGGAGGGGTGGGGATGCCTTTGTAGTCGTTTTTGCAGTTGTCTTGTGATTCTCACAAGTTGGTTTCAGCTTTGAGTATAGTTTGAGTAAAGTACAAAGAGCAACGCATCGACACAATAAAGGTTATATATTTAGTGCAGGGAAAAAGCAAGAGACATATATAGACAGAGATAAAAGAAAAAAAGTTGGAGCAAACAGTGGCATACTCCAAACACTCGCCCATGTTTGATAGGAGGGGAAAAGCTAAGAGGGGGGGGGGAGGAGGGGATAAAATATTTCTGTTGTTGCCCTGAAGTTTTTAACTGTGCATGCCTCATACCCTTACTGTTGCCAAAGTCGTGATAATCAATAGAACAATATACATTATAATATATTTCTCTTGCAAAAGGGAGTGTCAACCGCACCTTCGTAATGTCACTTCCACCTAGCTCGTAAACGGCAGTTTTTATGTACTGCTAACACAAATTCCTGGAAAATCCTGACCAAACAAAGACGAGACGGGAGCGGAGAGGCGATCAATCATCTCTCGGGAGAACACTTCATGGTCCACTTTCTAATCGTGCTCTATCATGGAATCGATGCTTGCAAGAATATTAGCAATTCTGATTACAGCAAGATGGCATCCTGTAACCAGAATCGCAATTATTATTTAAAGTATGGATTCCGTGGAAGAGTGTAATTATAAAGAGGGCCAGTGGGTAGTTGGCAGGAGCTAAGGTGTGGTTTGCTCCTTCTTTCCTATCAAAAACTATTGTCCTTCTTTCTCATCCTCCTTTTTCGAGTGTGTTATTCTCTTTACGGTAGCACATATAATCTTTGGCACTTATATGACCTTATGGTGTTGCAAGTGCAGTAAAACTTTTATTAAGACTAAAAGTGGGCCTAAAACCGATGGACCACACCTCTCAAGATATGAAACGAGCGCACCTGTAAAATGGCATGTACCCCGTTCCTTGATCAATTCGATTTCTTTACGGAAGGCAACGGGTAGGGGGAGGGGAGGGGGGGGGACAGTAAAGGCCACAGCACGTCAAACGATTAACTTGAAGCTAAAAAAAAGCGCTCACATTTGTTCAACTAGTCGTTATTTGTGTTGGAGTGTATTGGTAAACGCTTTGATTCCCCCCGAATGGAAAACATTATTCTTATTGAGAATCAATCGAAACCTCCGTATTCCAGCTCCAATGTTGCATTTCAGCTTGGTCCTGAAAGCCATGGTTGTAGCAGCGCCCCTCCAAATTGTCTAAAATTGTGTGCACGCATGCACACAATAATTACTTTTGTCTTCTTCTGGTGTCAGGTCTGGAGCAGCCATTGGCGACCATGGTACACTACTCTTTCCTGTTGTCAGTATTTCACAAATTAATTATAACGACGAGTTGAACAAGTGTGAACGCACCACTCGGGCAAAGTTCAAAGTTAATTCCTACCATACTGTTTTTAGCTTCAGGCTAATTGTTTGACAGGTGAATTCTGTTTCTGGTGCTGTGGTCTCTGCTTTCATCCCCCCTCCCCCCAAACCCCACATCCCCCTTTCCCCCTTCCACGAGGGAACTGAATCGATCAAGGTACGCGTAACATGATATTATTCCGCCGGTGCGCTTCACACAGTGTCATATTTATAACAATCTTGAGGTCATATAAACAATCTCAAGAGGTGGTTGATAGCGTGTCCACACTTGTCTAGTCTTTCCTTAAATCAGGATATTCCAAGAAATCGTGCAAGTCGAGCAGAAACACGTACTCCAGTATACGAGCGGGGTGGGGTGACATTACAAAGGAGTGGCCACGCTTTTTTTGTTACGACGCGGTGGAATCAGGCGCTCGTTAATTTTTTTTGTGAATTCTTTTTTTTACGGGGTTTTTTTTTTTGGGGGGGGTGGCATAAAAACATCTACATTTTAAAAAAATCAAATTAATTTGATTAAATAATTTGCAAATCTGTGGGATAGACTGTGAGTGGGAAATCAAGTGACTCCTGCTTTATCGCATGGGCTGATTGCCAACCTAAAAAGTACAATCTGATCGAGAGACGAGAAGAGCAACAAGTGAGGAATACTTCGGTACCATAAATATTCTTCCAACTGCATGAGAGAAGAGGAGAGGAATATATTGGTAACATACCTCCCAACAGCATGAGAGAAGAGGAGAGGAATATATTGGTAACATACCTCCCAACTGCATGAGAGAAGAGGAGAGGAATATATTGGTAACATACCTCCCAACAGCATGAGAGAAGAGGAGAGGAATAAAATATAGGTGACATACCTCCCAACTGCAAGAAAGAAGAGGAGAGGGATATATAGGTAACATACCTCCCAACAGCATGAGAGAAGAGGAGAGGAACATATTGGTAACATACCTCCCAACTGCATGAGAGAAGAGAAGAGAGCAGTGATCCAGGCAGTGAGAGATACGCTCCCCTTGAACTCTTCCAGAAACACCACCTGTGGATGTTTTATATTGTTCTTTTTAGTTTTAGTAAAAGCTTTACGGCACTTGCAACACGATAATGTCATATAAGTGCCGAAGATTAGAGGTATTAAAATGATAATAATAATAAATAGCATTTATACAGCGCATTTCCACAAAGAAGTGCTCAAAGCGCTGTACAATAATACAAAGAACATACGCAGTGCATAGCTCCTATAATAATCCCCTCTCTCTCTCTCTCTCTCTCTCTCTCTCTCTCTCTCTCTCTCTCTCTCTCTCTCTCTCACCCTATCTCAAGACTGTTCGGAAAAATGCAGGTTTCTTCAATTTGATTATTTTGACGAGAGCCTGATTCCACCACGCTGGAATGTGTTTCTTGCTTCTGTTCCCGTATGTTTTTTGGAACATGATAATATGCAAGACGTGCAAGTTCCTTTTACTAAAATCATCTTATGATTTAAGCTCTCAATAAACGCCGAAGACAGATAATAATATATTCCCATAAGTACAAGGAAATCGCCACTTCTTTTCGCACGTCCTACGGCTGCGAATATGTAATAAGGTATTTTATTTTACCGTTTGTCTCATGAACACCAGTTTCTGTGAGGGTTTTTTTTTTTACCTTTTTGGTTTGTGATTCTAGATCTATACGTTTCAAGACAACTACACACCACCTATTTCCATTCAAACCACATTCTGGTGAAATTCGCGCCACAGAAGTCAGTATCTGGACCATCTCCAAAAATTCCCGCGACAAATGTCCTTACCTGGAACATCCCCAACATTCATACCACAAATGTCCTTACTTGGGGCTCCAGTGGCTAAGTGAGTAGTGAGTTTAGACTCAAGTAATATCCAGCAAGTGTCAGAGACACAGGGATGAGATGGGAGGTCACTGGGGTGTGTCCTTGAGCAAGACAAGACAACCCTAGCTCAAAACACAGGGTGCTGCACAGTGTCCTAACGATAACATTCCCGCCACAAAGTGTCCATACCTGGAACATTCCCAACATTCCTGCCTCAAATGTCCTTACCTGGAACATTCCCAACATTCCTGCCACAAAGTGTCCATACCTAGAACATTCCCAACATTCCCACCACAAATGTCCTTACCTGGAACATTCCCAACATTCCTGCCTCAAATGTCCTTACCTGGAACATTCCCAACATTCCTGCCTCATATGTCCTTACCTGGAACATTCCCGCCACAAATGCCAGCCCCGAGCACATGAGGAGATTGAAGTAGCTGGCAAGCAGTACAAGCCACGCCCATCCCCCGTCAATGTCACGATGACGTCCCATACTGGCCCCGCCTCCTTTCCCACACAGCTCCGCCTCCTTTCACACACAGCTCCTCCTCCTTTCACCCTGACAAATCCTGGCCCTGGAATGCATTGGAAAAAGCATAAATAAATCAATGAATCAATGTCTAATAACATTATTATGTCAAGATAAGCTCTTAACGCCGTTATAAAAATGTTATCCAAAGGTCAGATAAAGAGATATGTGACTTCGGATTGGCCCAAACCAAGAAAGTGAAGAGCATTGGAAACAAGTTCAAAAATAGTCACATGGGATTCGAACCAGAGATATGTGCACCATAGTGCAGCATTCGATCAGGGGTGCCGGATATCAGCACCACCAACGAGATTATCATCATAGAGTTCCAAATCACAAACAGACATCGCCGTTCATGGTTCGCCATTCATTTCTTTCCTCGGATGTTCTAAAAAAAAAAAACCTTTTCTTTATAGATTTATTTTCTCCCCTTCACTTATCTGTTAAGGTTAAGGAAAGCGTTTAACCGCTACAATACAGAACGTATACATTGTAGAGACA